GGAAGACCACAAAGTGTTGCGTATACCACTTCACATCAAGAGTGCATACTATCGCCATGATGCATCACTGTTGATGTGGACTTTAGCCACCTGGCTGAGGTCATGTTTGTCAGGTTTTTTCTACTGAAAAGTTGTTCTTATTTTTCTCCTTTCCATAGTGTGCTTCTTGGGGGCAAGCGAAGACCTGTGCTCTAGCCCTCTGATGGTGGAGCATCTACATAAAGTATATGGAATTCTTCTGCATGGGAGATTTGTCTTTTCTCCCCTATTTATTTATTCAATTATTTATTTATATCAGAATGGACTCATGGATATTGAAAGCTTTTTTTTCCCCTTCAAATGACCCAATGTTAGTCATTGGGAGCTCTTTCAGTTGGCTCCCGAGTCCTTTGACATAACCCATCATTGTGGGTTTTATTTTTTAAAAGCATTTCCTTACTTTCTGGCACTATTAGATGCTATGGGCTTATCTTGTCCATCTCCTGCCCTGGTCTCAGAATCAGCCTGGTTCCTGTTTGGAAAGAGTGGAATTAGGAACCAAGGTCTGGGAGCTAGGCATGCTCTGGTCTCTTATGTTTCAGCCACTTTCCTTTTCTGTTAGGTCTCCTGATCCCTGCCCACTGACCACGGGGCTTTCCTAAGAATGAATCATACATTCAAGCCAGTAATAGAGTCCTGACTCTGCACAAGAATTCCATGGGTGATCAAAAAGGAATAATGTACCATCATGGAGTTTATAGTCAAGTTTGGGAGATAGATGCACATGGAGACGTAAAGCCAATTTCTAAGGACCTACTGACCCGTGCAGACTACAGGATCTGGGAAGTCTCTGAGCTCAGAGCTGAAGGAAGTGTCTACATTCTCTATAGCCTATTAGCAGACTCTGATTACATCTACCTTGACTGGGGCCCCAATAAGTGATCCTTCTCAGGATGGAGCAGCCATGGCTGATGCTGAGCTTCCCTCTTCTCCATCAATGCTTCTCCCCTTGTTTTTTTGGTGTGTGTGTGTGTGTGTGCGTGATTTTTGCTTTTTCATTTAAAGCCAAAGAAGGAAGAATATGTCTGTCAACTGTTACCCACTCATTCTGTTTAAAACCCATCCAGATGCCTTAATAGGCTCTGTTAGGAGTGGAAGGGTCCCCACGGCTGCTTCCCAAAGCCCGTAGAGAGAATGAGCAGAACTTGTTCTCTCCCCAACTCTCCAGAGCCCTGAAAATATATGTGGCACAGAGAACTTTAGCAATATTGGTAACATTTTATTTCTTAAGTTGGGGGTGCTTGTGTGGGGGCTTGTTTTTGTATTCCTCATTCCTTTTTGTGTGGCTTAAACATTTCATAATCACATTTGCAACACATTACTGAAGAAAAGGGGAAAGACGTGTGTATGGCCTTCCTCTACGTGACCACGCACCCTTGCTCCTGGAGCAGAGACTGACCTCCCAGACACTTGCCACTCCCAGCCTGGAGCCAGGGAAAGAGCATCTGGTTTGGGCCAGATGGGAGTGCCGGAGCCTGTCTGACCTGGTGTTGCTTGGTGTTGATGTGACTCAACATCTAGGTGGTGCGGCAGATACAGAATGACCCCTTCCTCCCATTCTCCTCGCCCCCTTCATCCCAGAGGCCCACCTCTGACTCCCTGAGAGCCTCAGAGTGGTGACATAGAGACAACCCTCTCCCATAGCAGGGACTTGCTGCTGGAGCCGTTCTATAAGGCCAGGGAGGACTTGAGGTCTGGAGAATTATTACCACCCACCCCCATCATAGGGCAGCATCTTTGCCTCTGCAAAAATGGACTCACACTTCCTTATCTCCCATCTAAAGCCATCTGTGAACAAAAACCTGAAAAGGGCAGCTCTAGATCTGGCAGCAGCCAAGAAAAACCAAAGGTCTTGCCAGCAGCAGGTGGAAGGCCGACTAAGCAGGAGGTCAGCTGGGGACACAGCCCCGGGCCCGGGGTAGGAAGTGTGTCTGAGTTTTTGGGGGAAAGAATGAGAATGATGTTAGCACCTAGTGCATGCAGGCTGCTAACTGTGAGGTTCTATTTGCAAGGCTAGGCTATGCAGCCTTCAGGCCTAGGACATTGTTCCTGGTGAGGCTGGTGGCCCCTGACAAGGAGACATTAAAGCTGTCTGCTAATTCCCTCCTCTTCAATGTGCTTGACCAATGAGGCAGGGTAGGAGTGAGATTCTGGGATTTCTGAGCCTAGGCCCTCCGAAGCCTTGCAGCTTCTGTGCAGTTCTTTTGGTACATTCTATCTGGGAGCCTTGATCTGCTATGTAAAGAGCCTTACTTCCTGGAGACTGCCATGCTGGAGAGGCCATGTGTAGGCCCTTTGGTCAACAGTTGCAGCTGATCCAAGCCTCCCAGCCACACCTACTACAGCATAAGACCTGAAAGTGAAGCCTATCTGTCAGTTGAATACCATAGAGTAACCCCCGCTGACACCGCATAGAACGGAAGAATTGCTTGGCTGAGCCCTAAACACATTTCTACACTACAACATTGTGAGATGTAATAAGAATGATTGTTGTTTTGTGCTTCTTGGTTTTGGGGTTGTTTGTTACACAGCAACAGATGACTGAGACTGCCGGGGTGCACGCATTGAGGCCACTTGTCTGATTATCAACTTCCAAATCTGGCATTATTGTAAGACGCGGGGGCTCATGGTTCATTCTCAAAATGGCATGGCAGAGGAGCTAAAGGCGAGACTAAAGGTACAGAGCATCTCTTCGAAATTGTGTCCCGGAGGCTCTTTGCTTGGGCTAGCCCTATGAGTTCTAGGGGTGTTGAAATAAATAGGAAAATGGACCTAGAATGACCAGGTGGTGGGGGCAAAGAGTTGCCTAAACAGAGACACGGGGTGAGCCTGGGAGGGGAGCACAAGGGGGCTGAGCACTGTCTGGAAGAGGAAGAGAATCAACTCGGAGAACTAGTAAAGAAGGGACTGGATTTTGGCAGGAGGGCGTGGGGGTGAGTGCTTTCCGAGGGGAAGAGCAGGGTGCCCTGGGAGTATGGGAAGCCTTGAGCTGGTGTCTGGCCCGGGGGTTCAAGCAGCCCCTGGGCTAGTGCCTTCTGCCTGGCTCTGCCCACTGCTGTGCTCGGCTCCCTTTAAAGGGCACTGCTGGGCCCTAGTGATCTCACACGAACACTGCAGGTGCAGGCCTGGCCCGTAAACCGCAACAGGGCCCCGTGCTGCCACAATGCACAGGGCAAAGCGTCCACAGGGGGATAAAGGCTGATTATTTGTTTAGCATCATTAGCAAGAGTCCCAGAAGTCGTCTGAAGCAAAGCAGAAACTTTTGTATTAAGGAGATTAAGCCTTAAACTCAGCTGAGCAGACTCCGCTGTGCGGAGTGGCTTTGTTGTGCCTGGCATTGTGTGTGATTATATGCAAATCACCAGGAGGCCTCCCTGGGGTCCTGACCACAGAGGCTTAGCTGCCCTCCCAGGGCAGGAGTGGGCCAGAGAGCACGCAGCACTCCAGGCAGGGGAAGCCTGTTTTCCCTCAAGTTTAGGAAATTGGGGTTTTGTTTAATATGTCATACAGAGGTTTCGGGGCACCTGGGTGGCTCAGTCGTTAAGCGTCTGCCTTCGGCTCAGGTCATGATCCCAGGGTCCTGGAATTGAGCCCAGCATTGGGCTCCCTGCTCCGCGGGAAGCCTGCTTCTCCCTCTCCCACTCCCCCTACTTGTGTTCCCTCTCTCGCTGTGTCTCTCTCTATCAAATAAATAAATAAAATCTTAAAAAAAATATGTCATACAGAGGTTTCTGATGGTTGGTTAGATGCATAGGGACAGAAGTGCAACTGGGGAAGTATCACTGGAAATTCAGGGCATTATCCAGTGAGGATGGGGGATGTTCTTATAGTCAGGGTCCCTCTGACCATAATACCTGGGGCATTCTCTAGCATTCTCTCTTTTGAAACTTAGAGTTTTATTTATATATATATATTTATTTATATATTTTGAAACTTAGAGTTTTATTTATATATATATATTTATTTATATATATATATATATATAAATGGTTGCCAAGAAGATGGGGACATATTTTGGTTTTCTTTTTTTTTTTTTTCCTTTTTTTCTCCATCAACCCCTACCCAGAATCCCCTAGTGACCAATCAGAAGGACTTGGGATTATCCCGATTTATTGATCCAGAAAATGTTTAATGTTTGCTCTCTGCAAGCTACACGGCTAGGTGTAGGGGGTGAGGAATGGTGAGCAGTTGGTGAGAACAGAGATGAATGAGATAGCTCTGTTGTTCAGGAGTTTACAGATAAGATGTGTACCCAGATAACTAAAATACCTGGGGGAATTTGTTGAGTGCTGGAAAAAAGGCCCCGAGAGAATGCTTGACTTCAGTTAGGAAGGGATCAGGGAAGGCTTCCGAGAGCCAAGCCCTTGGAGGTCTGGAGGCCAGGGCGGGCAAGAGGTGAGCGGCTGCACAAGCCAAGGGATTCACGCTGGAAAGCATAAGGCACAGACTGGCAATGTGCACGGAGATAACATCGTGTCCCTGGGGACTGGCCAAAGCATACTGGGACCCATCCCTTTTTGTGCTAGAATTTGGCCTAAACAAATTGGAGCCCTCAGTCTAACCCACAAACGTATGCAGGGAGTCCGGGATCCTGAGTCAGCATCTGTGGAACTGCAGAACTGCCTGGAGGGCAGGGGGCCCAGAGACTTCTATGTCCCACCTGCTGACGGCTCTGTGGATGCCCTGGCATCCTCCTCCTTTGCCTTTCCCCCCAAGTAGCATCTGCAGCTGCTTCTAGGTCCTCAATAGCACAGTGAGCGTGGACATGTCCGAGGCTCTCTTCTAGGTGGGCATAAAATGCTGCCCACTGGGGTCGGGGGTGATAGTCATCAGTTCCCTCCCCCTGAGAGGCTATGGACCTGGTGGGGGTCCTGCAGGTCTGAGCTGAGCCTGAGGGTAGAGTGAGCTATGCCCTGGGCTCATGGTATAAGATGTGTTGCCAATGGAGATCGCCTAAGAACATGATCAAGGCTGAAAAGAAAACCCAGGAAGGCTGGGTGGCCAAGCCATCAATCGAAAACCTGGACAGCATGGTAGAAGCAGGTAAGAGACCACAGGATGAAAACTGGGATGCCCAGCCTACCTTTCTGCATTGCTGAGTGGTGGTAGGGATGCTAGGCATGGCTGCAGGCGCACGCCATCGGCGCTCTAACCTCATCGTGGGCAACGAGGACCCTCGGCCCCTTGCCAGCCTCTATGTGGTATTTCCAAAGAGAACAGCCCCAGTCCTTGGTCGAGCACAGCTCCTGGGGTCTGATGGGGGCATGGAGATAGGGGAATGAGAAATATTAGCTTTGCAAACAAAGATACCCATTCCTTTCCAGCACCCTCCACTCTAGTCCCCATCAGAGGACCTGCTCCCAAGAGACCTCTCAGGGGCAGTAAGAAGCTGAGGGTCACTGGGCCCTCCTGCTGAGGGGAGCTCTGAGCTCCGGAGGGTGAGAGTTACCGTCTATCGTCCACAAAGTACAGTCCTTTCCTTTTGCCGGAAGTTTCTGTGAGCAAGGGGTCCCTGGGTTCTGAGGGGGTGTAAAGGATGGGAGAATCCCTCTACCTCCCCCCCTCAAAAAAGGAACCCAAACTCAAACCAAATTGCTCTTTGGAACTATGTGTCCTTTGCCCAATCAGAGGAGCAGATGTTTCTGTGAGGGTGGGGGAGATATTGGGGGGCTCTTGTCAGGAGCCAGGCAGGAAGCCTCCAGTCAGGCCCCAGATGATGGGGGAGTTGAAAGGAATTTTGTAAAGATATTGTCTGGACTTGGGTTGGATAAAAGACAGTGGCAGATGGGGCTGTTCACCTGCCGGGCTTTTGTTCTGCTCTGCTGTGACTGTTCTCCACACACAGTCCATGGGGTGGGGTGACGGTGGGGGGGCACGCTGTCTGCCATCTGCAGGAGGAATACAACAAACACCCACATGCCAGCCAACGGAAACCCTCAGCAAAACAAACAGCACGAAGAGGGCGCCAGCCTGGAGTGTGGTGGGGCGGGCGGGCGAGGTGAGAGGGCACCTGCCAGGGGTGGGGTGGCCCCGGGGACTCTGCCGCGCTCTGTGCCCTGGGCCGGCTGCCTGGCAGTGCAGGGCTCAGGCAGCCAGGTGACAGCCTCTCTGTCATTCAGCGGCCAGGTTCGAAGAGCCAGGGGTTGCAAAGCCGGGGGTTAGATACAACCCATTCTACAGATCATCAGTATCCACGGTTCTGCCCTGGGGTTTGCAGCAGGAGATGCCGCCTTAAGCAGCTTGGGTTCAGGGCCTGGCTTTGCCACTCTGCTGAACACTTCTGAGCCTCTTGCTTTCCTATCTGTAAAATGGAGCGATGATAATGCCTAACTTAGAAAGTTGTTTGGAGGATGGAAATAATATCTGTGAAAAGAAACTTTGCAAATGGCAGAATATTGCACGGATGCTGATTGTTATTAACAAGTTACTTGTGTGGCTGACCAACTGGATCAGAGGGGTTTGCTCCTGGCTTGGGACATGCAGAGCACATATACATCACGGGGGGAGACCTCCAGCCTGGGCAGGCGGCATCTGGGACGTCCCTCAGCTTACGGGGAAGAAGCCTGGACTTACACCTGGGTTCAGGGGCCTGGGCCAGTGAGGAAAGTGGGAACCAAGGTGGCATGAGGTGAGGGGTGGGGTGCAGAGTTAAATCTGATGGCTTGGTAACACCAAGTGTTGGGCTTTGGCCTTGGCAGGGGTTGAGACTGGATTATAGATCTTCCCCAACATCCTTGCTGTCCTGGGCATTGGTGTCCCTCCCCTTCCCCCGTATCCACGCCTGAGCACGGTGAGTGGCAGCTGGGGCCAGTGTCCACAAACCTGTTGGGACAGGGCAGGCAGCTTGTTTGCTCTTCCCAGGGCCAAGCCTGGTGGGCCGGACCCAGAAGTATTATGTTACTTAGTCAAAGAATTCCTTTCCTTGCCTGCCTCCATTATAAAGGGGAAATAAACCCTGAGCTGTCTGCCCTTGTGGCCCTAAGCCAGGTCCTCAAGTGTCATTTCTGGGGAGCTGCTCTCCCCAGGGCAGGGTGCAGCCTCCAGGGAAATATGAGCCCTTCTTACCCTTCCCACCCGGGGTGCTGGTGGTGGTGGTGGGCCTTCTCCACCACCCCCGAGGAGGTCCTGTGTTCTCCAACATGACTCTTGAATGTTTTTCTCATTCTAGGTCTGAGCTCTTGAGAGCAGAGTAGGGCTTGGAGCTTTTCTTGTCCCAGTGGAGGCCGGGGCTGGGTGGCTGGGTTTCTGGCCCAGCACTGGGTTGGTGCTGGTGTTGGTGCTGGAACGTTCTAGCAACGAGAACAACCAAAGAGGTCTTTTGCTATCGCCTGTGGCCGGGTGCCCTCGTCTGTGCTGTGAGAACCTGAGATGGGTTTTGGAAACTCCAAGGCTTGTGCTGCTATACTTCAGAGTTCTGGTCAGAACCAGGCAGGCCTGGAGGAACCTGCACCAGACTTTCTGAATTGCATCTCACTGGAGAGTCCCAGGACCAGGTGAGGTCTGAACTTTAGAGATCCGCTGGGTGAGGTCCTCTTATTCTGCCCCAAGGTTGGAATGCCTGATGGAATGCTTTCCAGGGAATTCTCTGGAATAGTGTGATGTGCATTTTAGGACCATGTTATATCTGTGTCCCATTGCCAACAATAAATGTTGGTTGATGAATGAAGTCGAGGCATCCTCTCCTTCTTGTCTCCCCTCCTGGGCAGAGTCTTCCTGGCTTGGCCCAGATGTGATGACAAGGGCTTCTAGAACTACTTCTTGGAGAGACAGTTACCTTGCTTGAGAAGCAGGGGCAATCAGATTCCATTTCTGAAGATTATGAAAGTTTAAATTTCTAAATAGCGTGAAGCAGTATATCATTAAATTTGGCTAAGATATCTCCCTGCTTGCAAACATGTTCACATCTCTTCTACCTAGTGGAACAAAACTGTATTTGACTTGCTAGTTTCTCTCCTGTCTGTTATTTTCTTTGCATCTTAAGTATTGGATTGCAGTGTGGATTGCCATGTGTTTGCTTAGCTTCCATAGACCAGCTATGAGTGATCCTGACAGAGGAGCCATGATCTACATTCTTTCATGTCCCCCCACAAGGAAATGTCTTACTCAAGCATTCTCCAAGACTGCCAGCACCTGGGGAGCCGGGATTTACCTGGGTGTTCACTGCCCTCCCTCTTCCTGCAGGAATAGTGCTTGGCACCAGTAATACTCAACGAATATTTGTTGAATGAATAAAACATCAGAGGAATGAATAGTAGGTGCTCATAAGTGCTCAATCATTTGGTCTGAGCCACTTTGTCTTGCTGCATCCCTCTGACTGATTCGGTGTTACATTTTCCTTCTTACCTCTCTGACAGGGTCTCCTTGAATCTAGCTCTGTGTTCCTTTTTGCTCAGTTCTCTGGCTTCTGCTCTGATCCCTCTATGTGTCCTCCACTGGGAATCCCAGCCACTCTTTGTGCTGATGGCTATGAAGTATGTGTCCTCAGCTCTAAACTTTGCTAAGGTTTGCTCTTCCGTCTCCAGCTGACTGTGGGCTAATGAATGGAATCATGGAGTATTAGTGTTAGAAGGAAACTTGGCAGTCACCTGACCTAACCTTGGCACTCACCCTCACCTAACTCCCCATGATTCTTCTCTACTCCTGTCAAGAGGCAGCCCGTTTCATTGTTGGCCAGCCCTGGCGGCTGTCCTTCATCCCACTTCTTTCCCTTCATCTGTCATCTGGTCTAAATTGTTAGCTTCTGGATAGCAGGGGCCATATCGTATGCAAATCAATTAACATTTGTTTATAAATCGTGTATATTTGATAATATGAAAAGTTTGAATATGTAACTTAGGTGAGAGGTGCTCTTTCCTAAATAGGTTTTGGGGGTTCTCCCCTCCCCTCTGGTTTTGGAATCAGAAAGCCGTGGGTTCAGATTCCAACTCTATCATTTAACATCTGTGAACCTTTAGGAAAGTTATTTCTCGGAGTCTTGATTCCCTCCTCTATAAAGCAGTGATAGTAGCAGTCCCGACCTTGTAGGCTCAGTACGTGGACTCATGAGATACTGTAAATTCAGTGCTTAGTGCCGGGACTGACATGCATCAAGGGCTCTAAAAATGGGAGTTTTTGTTATTATGAGCAGGCTGACGTTAATACTGAACTTGGGGCTCCATGCCAGCCACTAAGCAATATGTATGCAATTCTTGCCCCGTACTTCTCCATCCCCAGCTCCACCTCTGAAGACTATACTGAAACTGTAGTCCTTTGTTCCCTGTGTGAAGGTACAAGGATCAGTTCTCCCTTCAGATAAGTCCATTGATTTCTGCTTCTGGATATGGAACGATTTCATGGCTGACATAGACGCTGTGGGAGCCCAGAGGAGAAGGAAGCTGGTCTGTAGGTGGGAGGCACTGGGCTGAGCTCCTTCTACTTCATGGTGCCCGCCCTCAGAGCTCTGGTGGGAAGGAAAGGCCAGTCTGTGTGCAATAAGTAGGAAACAATATCTGCTTCATAGGATGAAGGGCTACATCATGAGGGGGCAGACTCAGCTGAGAGGTCCATTAATAAATATGGCGGTTAAGAGATTGGGTTCTGGGGGGCGCCTGGGTGGCTCAGTTGGTTAAGCGTCTGCCTTCGGCTCAGGTCATGATCCCAGGGTCCTGGGATCGAGCCCTGCATCGGGCTTCCTGCTCCGCGGGAAGCCTGCTTCTCCCTCTCCCACTCCCCCTACCTGTGTTCCCTCTCTCGCTGTGTCTCTCTCTGTCAAATAAATAAATAAAATCTTAAAAAAAAAAAAAAAGAGATTGGGTTCTGGAATCACAAAGACCAGGACTCTAATCTCGGTTCTGTGGGACCTGGAGTGAGTTACTTGACCTCTCTGGACCTCCTCCTCGTCTGGGTTTTCTGGGGAGGACTGAATGAGGGCGTGCACTGACCAGGGTTCAGCACCACACAGCACAGCTCCCTCAGTGGGACTATTGTTACTATGTATTCTGCATTTGGGAGAAAAGAGCACACTTACGCTCAGAAGGGGTGAGATTTAGACAATTAGGGCGAGG